AAACGTGCTTGAAAAACTTATCTTAAAAAAAAAATACATGCAAGTGGAAAAAGAGAAAGTGGGAGGAGTGGTGGGAGGAAGGAAGTTGGGGCAAGAAACCCTGGACCCCAGACCAACCAGGGCTGTTCTGGAACTCTCCAACAAGCCACTTAAACTGTCTAGGCCTCTGTCATTTTTCCTGATCAAATATAGTTAAATTCATCCTCATGCGATTATTATGATAACTAAAATAATCAGTGGTGGTGAAATGGTATCCTATAAAAACTTAATTTTTAGGTAGGAGAATTTGGCAAGAAAAGGTTTAAGAATTTCCATTAAAGTCACTACTAAAAATTCACTCTATCATAAGAAACTCCCATATGCATTTTAATAGCTGATGAGACCCCAAAGCACAACCACCCAATTGCTAGACAGGGAAAAAAAAGGCAGTCAAAAGATAGGGACATTAAAAGTAGAGAAATGAGATGAAAAACTCTTGTGCAGCAGAAGGGCAAGTAATAAATGTACAAAGAATAAGGGAATTTTAAAAATCACTATTTGGCAAACTTTACAGCAATAAATTGTTTTAAGCAAGAATCATCAATGTATGCTAAAGGAGTCAAAGTCGAGGTGACAGGATATAATAGTCTTAAAATATCTCCCCATTAATTACAAAGGAAAGAGATATCACCTTTATGATGCAGAAACCTAGCAGACCCTATCTTAATTAATGAGCAAATGAGTATCACCAGTAACAAAGAAGTATCACATGCTTTCTGACATGTTGCACTAAGAGTAACACATCACATCTGTTGTATTCTGGGGGGGAAATGAATAAATTAAATCATGAGGGAAAATCAAGCAAACCCAAATTGAGGGACACTCAACCGAATAACTGGCCTATGCTCTTCAAAATCATCAGTGTCAAACACAAAGAAAGATTAGGGAACTGATCCATTTAAAAAAAAATCTAAAGTGTTCTATAGTTCCTCAAGTACAGATCCTTTACCTTTAACTTGAGGAACTACAGAACACTTATGAAAGAAATTGAAGAAAACACAAAAAGATGGAAGACCATCCCATGCTCATGGATCAGAAGAATAAACATTGTGGTGCAAAAACAATGAATACTGTTATGCTGAAAAGAAATAAAAAATAAATAAATTTTAAAAAATGTCTATACTGCCTAAAGCAATCTATACTTTCAATGCCATCCTGAACCAAAATTCCACTGGCATTTTTCAAAGAGCTGGAACAAACAAACCTAAAATTCGTATGGAACCAGAAGAGACCCTGAATTGCTAAGGAAATGTTGAAAAAGAAAAACAAAACTGGGGGCACCATATTGCCGTATTTCAAGCTTTACTACGAAGCTGTGATCACCAAGACAGCATGGTACTAGCATAGAAACAGACACAAAGACCAGTGAAACAGAGTAAAGAGCCCAAATATGGACCCTCAACTCTATGGGTCAAATAATCTTTGACAAAGCAGGAAAAAACCTACAGTGGAAAAAGGACAGTCTCTTCAATAAATGGTGCTGGAAAAATTGGACAGCTATGTGTAGAAGAATGAAACTCGACCACTCTCTTACACCATACACAAAGATAAACTCAAAATGGATAAAAGACCTCAACATGAGGCAGGAATCCATCAGAATCCTAGAGGAGAAAATAGGCAGTAATCTCTTTGACGTCAGCCACAGCAACTTCTTTCAAGATATGTCTCCAAAGGCAAAGGAAACAAAAGCGAAAATGAACTTTTAGGACTTCATCGAGATCAAAACCTTCTGTACAGCAAAGGAAACAGTCAACGAAACAAAGAGGCAACCCACGGAATGGGAGAAGAGATTCACAAATGACACTATAGACAAAGGGCTGCCATCCAAGGTCTATGAAGAACTGCTCAAACTCAACACACACAAGACAGATAATCATGTCAAAAAATGGGCAGAAGACATGAACAGACATTTCTCCAAAAAGACATACAAATGGTTAATAGACACATGAAAAAATGTTCATCATCACTAGCCATCAGGGAGATTCAAATCAAAACCACATTGAGATACCACTTTACACCAGTTAGAATAGTCAAAATTAACAAGAGAGTAAACAACAAGTGTTGGAGAGGATGTGGAGAAAGGAGAACCCTCCTACAATGTTGGTGGGAATGTAAGTTGGGGCAGCCACTTTGGAGAACAGTGTGGAGATTCCTCAAGAAATTAAAAATAGAGCTATCCTATGACCCTGCAATTGCACTATTGGGTATTTATCCCAAAGACACAGATGTAGTGAAAAGAAGGACCATATGTACCCCAATGTTCATAGCAGCAATGGCCACAGTTGCCAAACTGTGGAAAGAACCAAGATTCCCTTCAACAGATGAATAGATAAAGAAGATATGGTCCATGTATACAATGGAGTATTATGCCTCCATCAGAAGGGATGAATACCCAACTTTTGTATCAACATGTACAGGACTGGAAGAGGTTATGCTGAGTGAAATATGTCAAGCAGAGAGTGTCAATTATCATATGGTTTCACTTACTTATGGAGCATAAGGAATAACATGGAGGACATTGAGAGATAGAGAGGAGAAGTGAGTTGGGGGAAATTGGAGGGGGAGACGAACCATGAGAGACTGTGGACTCTAAGAAACAAACCTAGGGTTTGGAGGGAAGGTGGGTGGTAGGTTGGGTGAGGCTGGTGGTGGGTATTAGGGAGGGCATATACTGCATGGAGCACTGGGTGTGGTACATAAACAATGAATTCTGGAACACAGAAAATAAATCAAATCAAATCAAATGAAAAAGAAAAAAAAACCCAAATGCTGGCATTGTCTAAAAAAAATGTAACAGGTTTATTGTTAATTGTTATAAAGTTAAACTGCTGAAATGTGTTCGCTGAAAAAAAACAAAACAAAACTACACTAAAGATACATGTTAACTGAAGCCCATGCATGATGTGGAATTTCTTTTGTTATAAAGATATTATGAGGACAAGGAGCAAAATCTGAGTTAAGTTTATAGATTAGTTATTATTATCAAGTCATTGTCAATTGTCTGCTTTTTATAATTATATCACATAATATCTGCATTATTCTCCTCATGCTGCCATAACAAAATAACATATAGACTGGGGGGGCCTATACAACGGTTCTGGAGGTTAGAAGTCTGAAATCCAGGTGCCAATGTAGTCAGGTTCTGGGGATAGCTCTAGTTCTGGCTTGAAGATGACTACCTTCCGCTTGTGTCCTCATGAGGCAGAGAGAGAAAGCAAGATCTCTGGTTTCTCTTCTTATAAGGGCCCTGATGCTATCATGAAAGCTCCACCTTCTGAACCTTACCTAAACCTATTTATCTTCCAAAGGCCCAGTTTCCAAATACTACCACATTTCAGGTTAGAGCTTCAACATAAAAATTTTGGAGGGACACAATTCTGTCCATAGCAATGTCCTTGTCAAAAAACCAAACCAAAACAACAACAAAAAAAAAACTTTATTTATATAGACACACAGAGACGGAGGCAGGGTTGTGGTGGGGAGGAGACAGAGAGGAAGAGGGAAAAGCAAATATAGTATTTGTGGATTCTGAAAGGTATATAGGGATTCTTTACACTGTTTCAACTTTTCTATAAGTCTGAAATTATGTCTAAATAAAAAGTTAAAAAAAAAAAGCAGACCCCACTATTAACCTCTCTGATCGTACCTCTATATAGGTAGCTGACTGTGGCAATCAAAAGTTACTAGAAACTCTAACAGTTCTGCTGGCAAGTACCTAATAATTATCAAGAGAAATCAGATGCTTCAGTGCATTCCAAAAACATCTTCCAAAGGAATATCTATATTGAAGTTATTTTTTATTTTCTTGTTCTTAAACCTTTTTTTCCATGTCCATACATTTCTTCCAAAAGCGGAAACAGAGTATAACATCCGTTCCTAATTTCATATAATCTGCTATGGTGGTTATTAAAGACTTATTGACTACCACATCTATCTCCCTGCTAATGCTAAAACAGCAAAATAAATGAGCACAAACTCTGCATGTTCTCAGAGAAAAATGTTTCATTTCCCCATTTAAGAAAAAGAGAGATTCTACACTACAGTTTAGAAATGAAGAGAGATGGGAGCTCACGACATCTTATGATCATGTTTTTTTCACTGTCTCTCTTCCTTCTTCTATGCCTTTATCAATGTGTAGTGAATTAACTTAAAGGCTGCTCAGGAAGGCTTGCTGAACTGACCAACCAATGATTCTAGATATTAACACTCAAATATCCCTAATCACATAATACTATTTCATCTTCTTCATAAAAGTCATATTCAGATTGAATTTAAGAAATAACTTCTCTAACCATTAGAACCAGGGCCTATGATAAAAAAAAGATTCCTATATATAAACTAAACTTAAAAGACATTATCTTTTCAGAAATGTAAGCGTTATTATAATGACAGTGGATATTAAGGCCTGTGTGCTAAGGCATTTTACACGGTCATATATACCATGTTATCTTCATTCTGTAATATACTGATTATCAAAGTTGTTAAAATGATTTGTTCAAAAATGCCCAATTTATGAGTAAGTGACAGAGCAAGTATTTAAATATATGTGTAAATGTATGTCCTAAACCCATAACCTTGAACTCTTCTTTACTATGGTGTTTCCCAAAGCCTTTTCCACAAACTAAGGAGTATATGTTAAGGTAGGAACATGGTTCCATAGTAAAATAAACGTAGAAATTGTTGTGCAAAGCAAACAGGTCTTTCTTTTCCTTCACTAAGAGGTTATCAGTCTTTAATATGTAATTTGAATCTCAAAGAGGGAGATAAGTTTATAGCAGCACAGAAATTCTATTATTTTTAGACAGTACCTATCTGGGTGTCCCACAAGTTGAAAAAAGTAGCACTATGCCTTATTATCCAAAAACACAGCAAAGAATCTATTTCTATTCATTGATGCAAGTGAAAGGCTTGACTGTAGCCAAGGCAACTAAAGCAATGAAGAGAGACAAACTGTAACTTACCGTTGTGCATCCTGGACCATCCATCTCTTTCACAGTCTCTGCCAGAAGATCCAAATAAAGCATCAGCCCTGGGACTTGGGGGGTCGACCTAGAAGAAAAAGGATTGAAAGTCAAAAAGAACCTAAATGCTCTTACAGTCTCATGGCACCAGAAAATCAACTCAAGCACATAGACTGTGGTCATCAGGTTAACAGGATAGTGCCTGTGTGATTCAGGCATGTTCTGAAGCCAAAGCTTAGTTGAATATTTTGCTGTTCATGTTTATTTTTTTATTTTATTTTTTTAAAGATTTTATTTATTTATTTGACAGACAGGGATCATAAGTAGGCAGAGAGGCAGGCAGAGAGAGAGGGGGAAGCAGGATCCCTGCTGAGCAGAGAGCCCGATATGGGGTTTGATCCCAGGACCCTGAGATCATGACCTGAGCTGAAGGCAGGGGCTTTAACCCACTGAGCCACCCAGAAGCCCCAGCTATTCATGTTTAAATAAAATTGAAATTAAACACCAGAAATTTTTAATTATAAATTTGAGTCTATTTTAAAATTAACAAATTTATAGTTGAAATGTCCATTACCCCATTGCCTACTTGGCCTTCCATTATAAAGCTATAAAAAGAGGAATCTTTTGCCATATTTAAAAAGCAAGTTTAGCCATTTGCTACTCAAGACAGATGTTGAATTCAAACAGTGTCTTTACTTAGCTGTGTCTAGAGCCCAGCATGCTCAGTGCTTTATAGCTCACAGATTATTGCAGTCAAGCACGTTTTCTAATGAGAAAGAAAAAAGAGTGATATAAAGTGTAAAAAAGATAGCTCTATTCATCAACATTAAAAACTTCATCCATAAAAGGATACTATTTTTTTAAAGATTTTTATTTATTTATTTGACAGAGAGAGAGAGAGAGATCACAAGTAGACAGAGAGGCAGGCAGAGAGAGAGGAGGAAGCAGGCTCCCTGCTGAGCAGAGAGCCAGATGCGGGGCTCGATCCCAGGACCCTGAGATCATGGCCTGAGCCGAAGGCAGAGGCTTAACCCACTGAGCCACCCCTTAAAGGACACTATTAAGAGAGTGAAACACAAACCATTTAATAAAAATATATATTTGCAAATAATTATCTATAAGGCATTAATATCCAGAATATATAAAGAAGCTTCTACAACCCTGAAAAAAACTTCTCAAAAGTGGGCAAAGAACTTAAATACATATTTCTCCAAAAGATATACAAATGACCAATAAGCACAAGAAAAATTTTCAGTATCACTAATCATTAGGGAACTACAAATCAAAATCGTAGTGAGAGATATACTTTATGATGTGAATGTACATACTGTGACTGAACTGTACACTAAAATGGCTAAAATGGTAAAATTTTTTTATATAAGATTTTATTTATTTATTTGACAGAGATCACCAGTAGGCAGAGAGGCAGGCGGAGAGAGACAGGGAAGCCGGCTTCCCACTGAGCAGAGAGCCGGATGTGGGAAGTAGGCTTCCCACAGAGCCGGATGTGGGGCTTGATCCCAGGACCCTGAGATCATGACCTGAGCTGAAGGCAGAGGCTTTAACCCACTGAGCCACCCAGGCACCCCTAAAATGGTAAATTTTATATTGTGTATATTTTACCACAATTTTAAAAAATTAAATTTTCGAAAAAGGAAAGTGAAAAGATCAGTCATAGAATGAGAAAAAAATATTTACAAACCATACTTGATAAGGATTTAGAATCCTAAATATTTAAAGCAAACTTGCAACTAAATATCAAAAAGACACAAAAAAAAAACAATTAAAAGTGGACAAAGAACTTGAATAGACATTTCTCCAGAGAAAATATACAAATGGCTAACAGCACATAAAAAGATGTTTGACATCATTACTTATTAGGGAAATGCAAATCAAAACCATAACGAGAAAAAAAAAGCCACAATGAGAAACCAATCCACACCCCCTAGGATGGCTATAATAAAAAGAAAACAGAAAGAATAGTAAGTGTTAGTGAGAATGTAGGTAAAGTGAAACCCTCTTACATGGCTGGAGAGAAGGTAAAATGGGACAGGCACTGTGGAAAACAGTTTGACAATTCCTCAACAAGTTAAAAACAGACACACCACATGGCCCAGCAATTCCACTCTTAGGTATTAAATTAGGCATGAAAACAGGTACTCAAGTGGAAACTTGTGTATGAATGTTCATGGAAGCACTATTCATATAACCAAAAGATGAAAAGAGCCCAATGTCCACCAACAGATGAATGAATAAACAAAATGTGGTATATATCCATGCAATGAAATATTATTCAACCATAAATAGAGCACTCATACAGGTTATAAAATGAATGAAACTCGAAAACACTGTGCTAAATGAAAAATGCCAGATAGAAAAGTCTACATATTGTATAATTCCACTTAGATGAAAAGGCAGAATAGGAAAATCCATATGGGAAGCAAATTAATGGTTGCCAGGGGCTGAAGAAAGGGAGAAATGGTGAGTAAATGCTTAATGAGTGCAGGGTTCCTGTTTAGGATGATTGAAAAAGTTCAGGAACTAGACTGCAGTGACAGTTACACAACGTGTACTTAGTGCCACTGAAATTATACACTTTAAAATGGCTGAAGTGGTACATTTCATGTTATATTTTACTGCAAATAGAAAAAAAAATCCTATTCTGTATCAAGGAAAAAGAAAGTAATTCTGTTTAACTTTTCTGGGATAGTTGTGCCAGTTTGTTTGAGAGCATGCTAGTTGGTTTCTTTTTTCTTTTTTTTTTAAAAGATTTTATTTATTTGACAGAGAGAGAGATCACACGTAGAGAGAGAGAGTGGAGGAAGCAGGCTCCCTGCCTAGCAGAGAGCCTAATGTGGGACTTGATCCCAGGACCCTGAGATCATGACCTGAGCTGAAGGCAGAGGCTTAACCCACTGAGCCACCCAGGCAGCCCCGCTAGTTGGTTTCTTGAAACTGCTCCTTACTAGGTAAGACTGTTTTTCTCACAATGTATGCAAAACTAGAATGTCTTTCCTAAAAGTATTAACTCTTTACATATGCATGTATGAAATTATTATTATTTTCTGAGAGATGAGGGAGGAAGGGAGAAGGGAGGGAGAAAGAAAGACAGAGAGAGGGTGCATACGAAGGAGGAGGCAGGGGCAGAGGGAGAGAGATAATCTTAAGTAGACTCCATGCCCAGCTCGGAGCCAGATGTGGGGATCCATCTCACCAGCCCAAGCTCACAACCGGAGTCAAAATCAAGAGTCAGACACTTAATCGACTGAGCCACCCAAGAGCCCGTGAAATTAAAATTCTGTTTATCAATTTATTAAGTCCTTCTGAAATCATGAATGGCTACAGGGGAAGAAAAGACATCTCTATGTAAATACAATTGGAAAAATCCTGTTTCCTATATAATAATGTAAGCAATTTTTTTTAAAGATTTATTTATTTATTGGAGAGAGAGAGAGAGAGGGAGAGGGAGAGAATCTCAAGCAGATCCCCCACTAAGCCCAGAGCTTGATGTGGGGCTCAATCTCATGAACCTGAGATCACTACCTGAGCCGAAATCAAGAGTCAGACTGAGCCACCCAGGCACCCCAATGGAAGCAATTTTCTAACTGTAGGCTTAGAATCATGCATTTTTTTTTTCTGTTCATTGGAAAGCTGTGAAGGGAATCTCTTCAATGAAAACATTAAACCCTACACTCAGCAATATTAGAATTATTCCACTTCGAACACTGGTGTGAAAAACAGTAATTTAAATGAGCATTGGAAGAGCAATTATTTCCCTCAACAATTTTTTTTTGTGGCTAACTCCCACTATTACTGGTTATTTTGCACTAAGCATTTTAATTAAAATGCTACTATTCCTTCAGATTAGAATTTAATATATCCTTTCTTTTCAACTTAATTTACAACTACAAGCAATCATAAAATGAAAGCTTTTCTGAAACTGCCATGAAACAAGCAAATCTTATCTGGATACATCCAAACAACAACAACAAAAAATGTGGTCACCACCTATAAACCAATTCTATAGAAAACAGACAAACATAATCACAATAATCTCAATAAAATATTACCACTTAAAAGTACCCATTATAAGTTTTCTTTTTACAATGAAAACAATCTGTTACTTAAGGTTAAAAGAATAAAGGATTTATAGTCAAAATGTAAAAATGGAGTGAAATGTTGCTTAATATAATTACATCTAAAATTAAGAAAAATTTATCACACACAAAAAATCTGAACTTTCTGATGATATATTTTCAAAACCCCATTAGACTACCCAAGAAGCATCTTTACATTTACATTTACATATTAGAATTTAGAAAAAATGAATTAGACATTAAAGTCAGAAATAACTTTATAGATAACCCCGAAAGTTGTTTTACTTCTGTAGGCACTTAAATCTTAACATTCATTATTGTTATTATATGTAATTTTATTAAATTACAAGCTTTTGTTACAGAAATGCTTTTAGGATAAAAATTCTTTACAAAAATTCAAGAAACTATGAAAATTCTAAGGAAGTCCCTTATTAAACATTCTGAAATGTTACAGACCCTTAAGATTACCCAAAGTCTACTTGACTATCACATGAACACAAACTCTAAGCTTAAACCATATCAAAGCAGTCTTCTGTTTGGGAAGATTAGAACTATACTACCCTAAGTTACTCTCTTCACTTTCAAAGGCCTTCCCATCCTCATCAAATAATGATTTGCTTCAAAGATCCATTATATAAGGTTTATACAAGGGATATAATATCAAAGAAAAACTTAACTCTCCATTATAATTTTTAAAAAGGCTAGAAAAGGGGAGTCTTCCTTTTCATAAAGAAAAGTTGGTCCTCTTTTAAAACCCTACTCTGCCATTTTAGTACTAATGTCAATTACATCTAAGTTCAATTTGTAGAGTTATTACACTGTCCAGTGTAGAGGAAGAAAGGAAACGAATACTTATAGGAGTTAACATGGTATTCATAATGGAACTTGATCTCTGTCGGGTTTAAAGACTGACAAAAGAATGTTCTTTTACTCTAAGTTAATTTTCCGTTTTAGATTGCTAGGCTAACAGTTCAAGAAAGAAAATTATGAATAGAAGCCAGATTTTGAAAGAAGTTTCAGAATAACATTTTAGTGAAAGAACAGATTAGATCGGTTTCAAATGGAAATGTTTAAGAGAACACATACATGTCTAATCACAAATGGAGGTTTATCTGTTTCTTTTTTGAATTCATAGGGTCCCAGATTTAAATGGGCCAGCCGCCGCCTGGTGTCTTCAGATAGCTCACACATGCGTCTTTTTGTGTAGGGAGATGGAGAGTGTGATTTTGAAGAAATGGTAGGCTGTTCGTAGTTTTTTGCATTTATGCAATATTTATTTCTCTCAGGTGACTTGGATTTTTTCTTTTGTGATCTTGATGTTCTGGTTTGCAGTCTGCCGTGTGATTTTTCAACTGGAGCCGTATGGTAAATAAATTTATCCTAAACATTAAAAATAAAAATTAACTTGGGCAGAAGATATATGTAGGGATATTTGTATATCTATAAATTACACATAGAAAAAAACTTTAAAAATTAAAGGCGCATACAATCTATCAAACCCAACTAGATTAGTCTTTCTTATCTATGCTAAGTAACTCTTTGTCTAGTAGTTAATAAAGTCCATAGTATTCTTAAGTCTAACAAGTACTTATGAAAATAAAAGCATAATATTTAACCACTTGAAAGATCTAAGAAACAAGGTCAGAAAAATTAGTTTCCAGTGTACTAAAAAATTAACAAAAACATTGGTTTATCATTTGTTTATTTTGTTTGTTTGTTTTTTTAAGAGTGTGTGTGTGTGTGAATGTTGGGGGAGGGAAGTGGGAGATGGATGGAATCTTAAGCAGACTCCATGCTGAGCATGGAGCTCAATGTGGGGCTCAATCTCACACACCTGAGATCATAATCCCAGAAGAAATCAAGAGTCGGAGGCTTAACTGACTGAGCCACCTGGTGCCCCAAGAGGGCTCTCTTTAGTAATGTTACAAACAGACATGGCTAATTCATTGCTTATGAAATCTTTACGGAGACAACTATTAAAGTAAGTTTCATTTACACTGCTATGATTAAAAACATATATACAATGTGAACATCTGAAAAACAGCTTTATACATATTTTCATGAAATATATTATTTGGATTATATAAGGTGGTTAGGATTTTAAGATCTCTTCCAAACTAAAACTTTACAATTCAATGACCAATAGTCATATCATCTTAATTCTGGTTCCATATTTTTATAAAAATAAAAAGACATAAAAGACACATTTAAACTTTAATGACTAGTACTCTACTAGTAAAACTGGTTAGCAGTCTAAAATTTTTAAAAAGCAAATGTTACATTTCTAAATTTTTTTTTGCGTTATTAGGATAACATTTTATTTAGTCTCTGCCTTATGGGTGCCTTAAAATTTGGATTACAAGTAAATAATATAAGACCTCTTGATTCATTATCTAGAATTATAATATTTCTAATATTAGAGAAAATGGACAGGTGAGAAACTTTGTCTTCCTAACTTTAATCATTTTAAAAACCCATCACTCCTACCTCCTTCTCTATTTTCTCAACCCCTCCTTCCCTACTCACTAAGTGTATCTATTCTAAGTAAATATTAAAACATAAATGTGATATAAAAGGGAAGAGAGTCAAACATTTTTAAAAAGAAGATAAACAGGAAAAATATATATTTTCCCAACTGGAAAATAAGTCCATGAATTTCATACAACCTGCAGCATCAGATTTTTTCCTCATCTCTCCTCTACAGCTGTTGATATGCTCCCGGTCCTTCTCCCACCTTGCTCAATGACTTCAACAAGTTAATTCAGAATTTCCTACCTTATCACACTTCATCTATCTCTATGACATCACACTGAGGCACAGAAGCAGGAATGTTAGCAAACACAAGGACTTCTGAAGTGTAATAAATGTTCAAGCAGTGACTCTTTCCAAGACCTTGGACTTGGACTTCTATTTCTCAGCTTTCATTGCTTTTTTCCACCTCATCTTAGATTTCATCATTTTGCAGATCCACTGCATTTGAAACTTTGAAAATCCCTTGCTGACCAAAACTACTTTTCCTCATTCTACTTCTTTTATTCTCACTGTATCTGCAACCGGCAGACCTCTTTTTCCCCAGACCTTCATATATTTTTAGTATCTCTTACCTCCAGATCCAGATAAACCCAATAGCACCCACTTCAGCAATGCTGTGAAGTTTCTCCTTACCTACCTCTGATTATACCAAACCTAAAATAACTAACCCCATCTTCTTCCTTCATTACAATCTTTGAATGTTGAATACTATAGAGGAAGTTCTAAACTGTGGCATATGTAGTACAGATACATGCTGTCTAACTCAACCAGATCCTTAATGTATCCTGTTACTGCCCAGGAAAACTTAAAATAGTGGCTGTTATATGCTGTTAACAAGATGGCTCCCTTTGGCCAACAGGATAATAGCTTGGGATACAAAGAGAGACTTGAAAAGTGCTATTGTCTTTTACTCCTTTTTTTGAAAACCTCCCTGCTTCCGTAGGAATGAGCCAAAATTAGCCTACTAGATGATGAAAATCTTGTAGCCACCATCCCAGCTAAAATCAAGCAAATTATGAGAAATGCAAAGTCCCTCCCAGACCAAAAACTCAGCCAACTACCAGATATGAATGAAGCCATCCTAGATCATTCAGCCCTGGCCTCGTCAGTTCAGACTAAAAGAATCAGCCAACCAACCCACAGAACTATGAAAAATGGTTTTAAGCAACTAAGTTAGTGTCACTTTTTACACAGCAAAAACTACCTGATGCAGCACACAAATTAATACAACTACTATTGATACTGAACTAATAAATACTAAATTCTACCTTTAGTAGGTAAAAAGAATAAGTAGAAAACTAGTTTAATTAAAACTAGTTTAATTTCAGAAAATCACAAAAATGTAATTTTTCAATCCATTCAACTGGTGACAGTTGAAAATAATATGCCAAAAGGAATAAAGTTTATAAGTATTTGCAAACTTAAATATTTTTATAGCTTCTTTTACTCATTCTTCTTCTAAAAACCAAAATGGCTTGTTTCATTCTTATTTTTGAAACTGAAAATGCTGCTTTGTAGTCACTAAAATTTTAATTGTAACTAATACTTTTTAAAAAGCAGATTTATCACATTCTTAAATAAGGTCAAATAAGATTAAAATTCTGGCTGTTAACATTTAAAATTTTAATGTGCAAGTGTATACTTTGTTGTGCCTACCAGATAATGTTTTCTATCTTGTATTTTAACTATTGTCTTCTCTCCTAATTATCATTTTAAAAGAAATCTTAGTAACAGCCATCAAATTCATTAATTATATGTTATGTGCCAGACACATCACCTATTCTCTAATTTAATCTTTACGGCAGTCTTGTGAGGAAATTGAACCCAGATCCATCTGATTCTGAGGCATATTTGCTTAAACACTGTCTGGTGCTAAGACCTATCTTATTTTCTTACATCTGTTCAGTAAAGAACAAATGACAAATACTGAAATAGCAAGTTAAATAAAGAAACGAGTCTTCCCAAAAGTTTACAGAGGAAAATTTTAGTTCCTAAGTCTAATGAGACTACTGATGAGGGCACAATTTTACATTTACAAAAGACTTTCCACCAAGCTGTCCACTTAGGATGTCCTTTTCTGTGCATATGCCATAGTTCATACAAAAAAAAAAAAAAAAGACTTTTCCATCCACTCACTAGAAGGACATACCCCAAGGAGGAGAAAAAAATTTTATCTGAGTTCAGGTAAAATACTGTTAACAATTTACAAATATACACAGTACATAACTCAAAACAGGTCAGTAACATCTTTGCATTTGTCAAGCATAGTTTGTTAGATCTCTAACAGCTGCATTTCAGTTTGCATTTCAAAGATAATTAACTATAGCCAAACTGGCACACTATGTATCTTGCTAAACAAAATAAGAATGATCCCCTTGAAAATTTTATATAATCGCGCTTTACCTTTCTTAGCTTACATCACTCTTACCGTCCTTGACAAATGTACTCTGAAACTGAGAATGCAGTAAACTAATACTGCACTCTTTCCATCATAGGTCCAGTCCTGTCTTGTTTGGGTCCTCTGGGCTTTATATGTTAGTGGCTCTTCATCACAGCCTAGTCATTGTTACCTAATCATAATGCAACTGCATATGAGTGAAGCCTAGACATTACTAGCTAACCTATGGACAAGGCAGTAAGATGATCCTGGTGACTCAGTGAAAAAGTTAGACAAGAATGAAGTATTAGGTCCATATATCTCAGTTTACTAAAGGCAGTTTTTACAAACAGAGAAGGTACTTAGGTTGGACTGTCCAAGGTTCCCTTGGTCTGATTGCACCAGTATGGCCATCAAACTGAGCAAGAGTCATATAAAAATTAGAGACTCTCAAGAAACCATACTCACTAAACACCAATATCCCTGCATGAGAAACTCTGGTCACATTTGTTAAAAGGTATCCTTTGAACTTTCTGCAGCCACCTTTAACTTCTATAAGATTTATAGAAGCCTCAGATCTAATTCTCCATGGGACTCTATGATCTCAACACCTTTCTGGCAGGCTGGTTTTAAAAAAAAAAAAAGGCCCATGGAGTTACAAAATAATAACAATAACATCATGGCGCCTTCTATCATGTATACCAAACTCTGCCCTCTCACATGTAAGATGCAACCAAATTGCTAAATACCTCTGATAGTTGTTTTGCTTAAACTAAAGAATGACCCCCAAAAGTGAAAAGAGTTACAGCCAAAATACAAGAATAATTCTTGCCCAATGCCCATAAATATGAACAAATAAGTTAAACCATTAAATACTTTAAATAAATGAGTTCAACCTGAGTGCGGCACTTCCTTGAGCTTATCAGACATTCAGTAATCACTGAGGTTGTAGAAAATTCCAGCTTTGGAGCAATTCCCTGAGGGGAAAAAGGGTAGTATTACATATTTCAATTTTTAGAAAAATAGAATTATTAGTGATAAAATTATGACCTGAAGTAACAGATATCTGTCAAGATTTAGCTGCTTCATTTGTTAGTTTGACCTTCTTATTAAAGATAAAGACAATACAGTGATGCTAAATTTTGGCAAGAAACCATTTCATTGCTGATGATTCCCGTAGAAGTGATTATATTACCTTTATGTAAAAATTACTATATTTTTTCATTGTCAAGTACTTCCCTGTCAAATTATTCTAAGATTTTAAACTATGATAAAATATCAAAGTCATAAATATATAAGAACACTTAGTGGATTTGAGTTCTTTTTACTTTTACAAATTAAGACATACTTAACTATATACTCAAGAAATACTTTGGATAGTCTCCTCATGTTAAAAAAAATTACAGCTTCTAGGTATGCAGTTCCTGAAAACAGAGGAGAAAGACGTCTCTACCAATAGCTCCAACATTTTTTTCCATAATGTATAGGTTACTCTCAGATCTATGAATGAACCTGGCTTCTGTTTCTCACAACCTTTCAAACATCAGCTTGAACACTGTTTTAAAATAAGTGGAGACAAATGGTAAAATTCAAAGGAAGAGTCACGAAGCACCTGCCTAGATATTTGGAAGCATACCAATTGTATATTCACCAAAGCATTAAAAGATACTGTGTAGGCCCAGTGCAACTTTATTCTAACATAGCTGAAGTCAGATATTTGTCCTTTACAGACCCAGCCTCTGACATACTAACTTGAGAGTTTCAAACACCGTATTACAGAAAAGGTAAATATATGTATTGCCTAAGAATTAACTAAATGATGGTTTTTCTGCAAACATAACTTTTACTAATGAAGTCCATAATGCCCACTTGTTAGTTACCCTGTTGCCTCACAGGATATTACTTAGCAGTTTAAAACAAGAGTAAACACTTATTATCTCAGATAGTTTCTATGGTTTGGGAATCTGGCAGAGGCTGAATGGGGTGGTTCTGGCTTGAAATCTCTCATGAGATTACGGTCAAGATGATGTTTCGGCTGCTGTCATCTGCAGGTTTGCCTGGGGCAGGAAGATCTGCTTCCTAAGGCTTGTTCAGATAGCTCTTGGCTGGAGGCCTCAGTTCTTTTCTAGCTTTTAGCAAGAGGACTCAGCTCCTCTATCCCACAAACCTCTCCTCAAGTGACCTCATGCCATGGCAGCTAGTTCTCCCAGAGCAAAGCAAGGAGGAAGCCATAACTGTTTAATGACCTAGTCTCCTAAATCTAACACTGTCACATCTATCACATCCTATTTATTAGAGTCCTGAAGTATAGGCCACACTCAAGGACAAAGGAGTTAGACTTCCTTTTCAGCAGAGGAGTACCAAAAATTTTGTGGACATATTTTAAAACCACCATGGTTCACCCTCTGACCACATGTTACTTATACTCCTTTCATGTGTCAACCAATCTCATGCTCTACCAAGAAAAGAAAAGAAGAAATGTCTCATCCTTTTATAGCTTCAGCTTGAAATCCAGGATGTTGGCATCTAAGTCAAATCCTTATTCAGCTTCCTCAGATGTGGTTCTTTAAGGATAGTTTCTAGAATACAGTTCCTCAGAGTTAGAAGACTTATGAACCACAGAGACAAGTTATCTGCCCCACACGTACCCAAAGCACACACATGCAGCAAGTGCAGGGTAATTACTCCAGATATTCTTGTTCAAAAGGGAGAAAATAAGTCAGATGGGAATCACTGGCCCATAGAAATTCTAAGATACAGCCAGGAGAATGTTAGAAGTTCCTTGATTACAAATTTAGTCCTGTTCCTCCCAGAAATAACTACCCCCTGGGCTCCTCTGGGCTCTTGCTCCTGATCTTTGCATTATTATTCCTTTTCAAGGAGAAGTAGACCATGTTTGGAGCTGCACAATGTTCTGAGTGTGAGTCCTATCAACAGAATTTTGGGGGTCCAAAGGCCTATTCATTTTGTGAGATCTCTCGCATTTCAGACCAAGCTGGTGGTGTTTCTACCAATATGGTGCTCTTAAAAAATTTTTTTGGTTCTCATATGAATCTTACTAAAGTTTATTCCATTAGACATGAGCTACACCCTCTCTACACTCAGCTTCTGCTGAGACTGCCCTTAAGCATCTTTGAAAAAAAAATCAATGTTTGATTCAATTATTTTCTGAGATAATGTCTTGGATCTTCCTGAGATTTTAATGAAGGGTTTTATAGTTATGCCTTTGGTTTCACCGTCAGACCACAATTTCCCAAAAGTGCCTGGAATGATTTTTGCTCAGAAGTCATTCATTAATTTTAGCATTATTTGCCATCAGGAAAGGCTGGGAATCTTTAGGAACAGTAAGTTCCAACTCATTTTTGCTGAACAGCCTTTCCTTTTGCTTATCTCTGTCCTCTCATATTTTGCTATAAAGCAGCAAGAGAAAACCAAGAAGACCCTCTAACTCTCTATCTGAAAGTCTTAGACACACCATTCATTTCATATTTCTTTCCTTCCCACATTACTGCAGGTGGCTGTGTGGCTAAACTTTCTGTCATTACATAACAAGGAACCCTTTTATCCCTAATTTCCAATAACATTTACCTTATTTTCCTGCAAACACACATCTGAATTTCTTCAAGACCTTTCAAGATTTCACAGACATTCTAGCAAAGCCTTTCCAGCTTCTGTCCTCTCTATAGAGGTTCCTGAGTGTCTTCACACATGGCAGTTGGCTTAGCCCAAAGTGACTGATACAGGAGTGAGAGCAAGGAAGAAGCCATAGTGCATTTAATGCCCTGGTCTCCAGTCTAATACTGTCAATTCACCATGTTCTTTATCTGTTATAGTCACTAAGTATAGTCTGGAGAACTAGCTCTGCCTTTGGAAGAGAGAAGTAACAAATCATGTGTGGATGTATTTTATAACTACCATAGCCTGGATTACAACTTATCACTTTATCCTTCCCATATATATCACTGATCACATAGCAAATACTCAGTGTTTTAGCCATTATTTTCACTGAGCTTTCAAAACTAATATGTATCAGTTGGGGTTCTCCAGGAAAACAGAACATATATATAACTAACATGTAATATACTATATAAGTATATAGTATATATATGGGGGGGGAGAGATTGATTCATTTTAAGGAATTGGTTCATGTGATTTTGAGAGTGGCAAGCCCAAAATCCATAGGGCAATCCACAAGTTGGCAACTCACACAAAAGTTGTTATTGCAGTCTTGAGTGTGAAATTTGTAAGCAAGCTAGCAGGCTATAAACTCAGGAAGTATTGCTTGCTTTCTTCCTTTCTTTTTGTTTTTGAGATTTTACTTATTTATTTGACAGAGAGAGAAAGCACAGAAGAGGAGGGAGAGGGAGAAGCAGACTCCCTCCTGAGCAGGAAGCCCCACACAGGGCTCAATCCCAGGACACTGGGATCATGACCTGAGCCGAAAGCAGATGCCCAACCAACTGAGCCACCCAGGTGCCCCTCAGGAAGTATTTCTACATAACAGTTTTGAGGCAGAATTCCTTATTGTTCAGGAAACCTCAGTTTTTGCTCTTCAGGCTTCAACTAATTGGGTGAGATCCACCTACACTGTCAATAGTAATCTCCTATACCTAAAGTCAACTGCTCGTAAATATTAATTACATCTACACAATACTTTCACAGTAACATCTAGACTAGCATTTGGCCAAACAACTGGCACCATAACCTAACCAAGTTGACACATAAAATTAATCAGACTCCATCTCAAATGTCAGTTCCTCTATGAAGTCTGTAAGATGTGATTCATTCATTCAATTCAATCGAGTGGCATTTAAGTACCAACTTCATGCAAAGTACTGTGCTAAGAGTTAAATTCAAAGATGAGAAAGCCACAGATGCTGTTTGCATGGAGTCCACAGCCTTAAGGGGGGATTAACATCAGCACTGTCATCATCTCCACAGCCATCAGCATGTCACTCATACTTCTGAGTGTTCTCCATGCCAGGTATAGCTATAACCATTTACGTTTCATTAATGCACCCAGCAGCCCTATGAGATCTTCATATGATAGTGCTTTGCTTAAGTTTAGTCAGGTAGTCTGCAAGAGTACCAAGATTTAATCCCAGAAGAACCCCTTGCCACAGCAATGGGTTCAAGACTCAGACAGATGTCACAAGAATTCTGAGGAAGGGTGCACTGTCGTCTGCCAGGACAACAAACTACTGATGGGAGTGTTTTATCCATTCGCATTTAAATAGAATAATTGATATGACTGGACTTTTATCTGCCATTTATTTGGCTCTTCAGTTTACATGTGCCATATCTTTTGATTCTTCCATTCTTTCTAGGAATCTCACCTGTTGTCTACATGGCTTGGTGGTCATCCAATGAACCTATAAACATTCCACTCTTTGTTGATCATCTGTATGTGGCTTGGGGAATACATTCAAAGATAGTCAGGTCTGCAATTTCTACTGAGTTTCACTTTTTGCTGGGCACTTATGGTCTCGTCACATGTACATTGTTTCAGAGTCAGCCAGGAATGGGTGGAGAGCTTATCTCAGCCCTTCCATTGCTCCCTTACTTCTTTGAACTTTTTGGCAGATGCGCTGCTCACTCTAGTTGGAACTGCCATTGACCTATCAAAGCTATGGTGTTTCTTCTACCACTTGCATCCAAATCCAGTGAAGACACACTGCCGTCCTTACGATTCTAACACCAATTCCAATGTGTAGGTTTTCCAATAGCACCAAGAAATTCTCTATGACACCAGGTAGGGGTCCTATAATTTAACTCAGTTCTGACACCAGCTACCTGGCAATAGCATTAGATCCCAGAGGTTAAGGAATCAGTCCCACCAGACTGTGCCTAGCCCACTTCAGATGCAATCACAAGTCTGGGTTGTTACCTATGTTCCTGACAGATTGGGTAGAATTTGAAGGTCCCCGTGACTGCCACCCCAGTTCAATTTACTGGCTAGAGAGGCTCACACAACTCAGGAAATAGTTTACTGTTTACCAATTTATTACAAAAGACTATGATAAAGGATACAGATGAACAGACAGATGGAAGAGATTCATGGAGCAAAGTATGTGGGAAGGGACATGGAGCAATGCCTTCCCCAGGGAAACCATTTTCCCAAGAGCTGCCTCCATGAGTCCAGCAACCTAAGAGCTCTCTAAACCCAGGCCCTTTGTTTTTTTATGGAGGCTTTATTACATAGGCAAGATTGATTAAATCACTGGCCATTGGTATTTTAATGCAATCTCCAGCCTCATCTATACTCCCCAGAGGTCAAGGGTCTTAAAGTTCTAACCCTCTAATACCAGGGTTGTTCCTCCTGGCAACCAGCCCCCATCCTTAGGTTATCTAGAAGCTTTCCAAAAGTCACCTCATTAACGTAACCAAAGACACCTTTACTGCTCCCCATCACTTAGGAAATGCCAAGGATTCTGGGAGCTCTGTGCCAGAACAAGAATAAAGACCAAATATATATTTCTTACTTTAAATCACAGTATCGCAGTCTCACCCTTCAAAATTGATTTTGACCTCTCTGGTAGCAGAGCTTCTGATTTTTCTGCCCAACCCCAGGATTGGTGAAGCTACAATTCTCACTGGCCTCACAGGGTATGGGAGTTATCCCAGGCAAGAAGATCCATGCGGCCGCTATTTTTATCCAAAGCTTTAGCCATTATTTAAGCATAAACACTTTTTTTTTTTTTTTTTTTTTTTAGTTCTAGTTGGTTAACATACAGTGCAATTATTAGTTTCAGATGTATAATATAGTTATTGCCAATTAGTTTCCGGTGTTCTGAAATTGTTTTTTTGTGATGATTTTGTCCAGTTTTATACCTGTTGTTTATGGAGAGAGGAATTACAACCTCTTCAAACCACCATTACCCAAAGTCTTAAATTACATATATGTGTGTGTGTATTTTTTGCCTTAGTAATCCAACACCTGAATGTATATAAAAGTAACCAAAGGCCACAGTCGCCAAACTGTGGAAAGAACCAAGATGCCCTTCAACGGACGAATGGATAAGGAAGATGTGATCCATATACACTATGGAGTATTATGCCTCCATCAGAAAGGATGAATACCCAACTTTCGTAGCAACATGGATGGGACTGGAAGAGATTATGCTGAGTGAAATAAGTCAAGCAGAGAGAGTCAATTATCATATGGTTTCACTTATTTGTGGAGCATAACAAATAGCATGGAGGACAAGGGAAGTTAGAGAGGAGAAGGGAGTTGAGGGAAATTGGAAGGGGAGGTGAACCATGAGAGACTATGGATTCTGAAAAACAATCTGAGGGTTTTAAAGGGGCAGGGGGTGGGAGGTTGGGGGAACCAGGTGGTGAGTATTGGAGAGGGCACGGATTGCACAGAGCACTGGGTGTGTTGCAAAAACAATGAATACTGTTACGCTGAAAATAAATTTAAAAAATTAAAATTAAATTTAAAAAATAAAAGAAAGAAAGAAATAAAAAGTAACCCAAAGTAAATGAAGAAGAGACTTATTAATGGTCCATACTTTGATGTTTATATTGCCAATTTGGTATAATACAGCATTTTAAATTACTTTCAAAACACCATAATTTTAAAATCATATTTTTTTCATTGCAAGCTTCCATACATTTGCTGAAACACTCTTTGAAGGTTTTTATAATATAGAAGACGGCTAATAGATACTGATAATATCCCAAAGGAAGTATATTTTCTTAGATTTGCTAGTCAGTCAACTTTAACACTTCTAGCAAGCTGAAATTGCTATTTCCCAGAACAGAGTATATCATAAACCTAGACCCAAGGGAAAAGTATTTAATTCACCATATTGGCTCATGGATCACCCCACTTTCCTTACTCATACAACTTTAACATTTTATAAAGGTAGTAAAAAAATGTTTGTCCAAATTATTTCAACCTAGACATCTTTTGCTATTCTTCTTCTTTGAAATAGCACAGTCTTCTCTCAGTTTCTCTAAGCAGAAGACATTTTCCGGGATAAATATATTTTTAAATCACCCAACGAAAGTTGAAAGGAGTTGGGGGAAAGAATGAAAGAGTTGGCTGTCACAATGCTGCTTTCACTTTTAGGTATATAAATGTATATTTCCATGACATGAAAAACAATCTATCTAAACTCTTACTAATGAGCATTTAAATCATTTTTATTTTTCATTATTATGAACAATGCTATTAATGAACATCCCTAGGAAGGCTCTTAGCATACCAGAGAGAATACATTTTCATGTTACATACCTATAAGGCAAGAGGCTATGAGAATCTTTGCCTTTACTAGATAATTCTGAATTGTGGTGGTTCTAACTTACATGGCATAGCAGCATGTAAGAGTTTTTCACACTTCTAATATTGTCAGATTTTATTAAATTTTACCAACCCTATGACTATAAGAATGAAATCATCGGGTTGTTTTAATTTGATTTCCCTATATGCTAATGAAATTGAGCATCTTTTCAAATATTTATTGGTCTTTCTTTTGAGAGAACGATAAAGAAGAAAGAAGAGACAGACATGGAAAGTAGGGAGGTGGGAGGCAGAAAAAGAAGAGAAAAATCTTAAGAATATAAGGCAAATTAATGCTTGTTAATTCTGGATGAAAGATGCATGGGTTTTATTCAGATTTCAGTATGTTTAAAATACATCATAATTTCATAAAAAATTATGTTTTGAACCAAATTAAACTCTGAACTAGTTCTTCACATTTCAGGTATTAAAGCATATGTGGTGGTTTTTGACAATGATCCCACATCACAGTTTGATTCAGAAAATTGTAAGCACTTACTCGAAGGCCAGAAATCCTCCTCATGGTAACCTGGCGGTTTGAATCATGGTGTCCAGAAATTTGGTTTGGACCCGGGAACATGAAATCTCGTGTATTTTCATCATATGTAGACAGTGTTTCACCCACTACAAGAAAGATACCCTATGATTCAAATTATAACAAAATATTCTATTTAGAAATAAAATCATCAAGTACGATATATATATAGTGCCTGACGCCTTACTGAAATTTCTGCTTCAGGGCCTTTTTTTTTCTCTATGAAATAAAAATTAAAAGAAAGTTATGTTAAATGGATTCCTTACTTAGAAATGTAGTACATATTACTACTTCTCCCTCCACCTTTTATAGAAGGGAGATAGTCATGTAAATTTTGTGAGTACCTATGTGTTTCCAGAGGAAAAAAGTCCTTGTAAACATATCAAGTTGGTATGACATTTACAAATCTAAAATGTAATTACCAGCTCCATAAATTTTTTCTATCTTCCATTCTTTTCTAATCGCCCTTATAAGGCACTAGGTTACATGTTGGGAAAAAATGAAAGTATTTTCTAGAATCTGTGGTTACACAAATTAGGTATATATGTAATAATCAAAATCTTTAAGGTTACTAAATTTCAGTAACACATAACTCCATTTTACACATAGAATAATTATTTAAGATAGAATTCTCCTAAAAATCACATAAGTAAATAACAGAAATCAAGCTATCCTCCATATATTAATTTTAATTTTACCTACCCTGGAAATTTGTAATGTTTACTAAATAGTTAAGGTTTTATTCCACCCCCCCCTCACTCAACACACAAAAACAAAGATAATTACTTTATAAGCAAAAAAATATAGTTTAAGGAAAATCACAAAAACGCAAAGTCGGTTTTTATGAATGGCACAAAATATGCTAGGAGAATAGCATACAATTTTCCACTTTTCTTTATTATTATTTATTCAACTTAGAACAATATAGTCAAACACTATTTATGTCAATCTTTATGTATTTATGTATTTGTGCATAGTGGACCAATACGAGAAACTCAACATTGTTCTTAATTTGGGAAGAAGGGAAAAATATGTATTTTTTAAAAGCATTCTTTGACATGGGTTTGCATATCAATTACCTTATCAAAATATAATACAGTACCTGGTGGAACTAGTTGAATCAACTCAAACAATGCTGTATCATCTGAAAGTTTAAAGAAAAATTTCCTTAAACAAATTAACAATAAACAAAAATTAGTTACTTTATCATAAAAGTATCTAAAAGTCAAAATAATTGCTGTTTATATATGCTTATATATGTTTATTTCTTAGTTTATGTATATATCTTAGCACATGTTTATGTTTATGTTTGTTTATATCTTAGTATACTATGTATATTTTTTGGTTGCTTTGTCTCTTAGGGTTTTATTAATCAATAGTAGAGATTATCCCTTTGATCTCTCTGGGGTTTTTTCCTGATTTTTTTTCTTTTAAGACTATCTTTTTAGAGCAGTTTCAGGTTTACAACAAAATTGAGAGGAAAATACAGAGATTTCCCACATATCCCTGTCCCCACACAGGCAGAACCTCCCCACCATCAACAGCACTCAAAGGAATAGCACTTTTTTTTTACTAAGCATAAGCCTCCATAGGCACATCATAATCACCCAAAGTCCATGGCTTACCTTGGGGCTCACTCTCTGGGTTTAGACAAATAAATGCATAATGACATATTCCACCATTACAGTATCATTCATAGTATTTTCACCTTCCTGGCTTTCCTCTTTGCTTTGCCTAGTCATCTCTCTCCTGCACTTCAATTTGCTCCCACGAGCAGCCACTGACATTCTTACTGTTCCCATAGCTTTGCCTTTTCCAGAAGTCATATTATAATCACACAGTATTCAGGTTTTCCACATTGGCTTCTTTCACTCAATAACATGCATTTAAGTGTCCTTCATGTTGTTCATGGCTTGACAGTTCATTTCTTGTAAGTGCTGAATAATAATCATTGTCTGGATGTACCACATTTTATTAATCCATTCACCTTCTATGGGCATCTTGGTTGCTTCCAAGTTTTGGTAGTTATAACCGCTGCTCTAAACACCCTTGTTCAGGTTTTTATGTGGACATAAGTTTTTAACTCCTTTGGGTAAATACTAAAAGGGTAGTTGCTGGTTTAAATGTTAAGAGTATGTTTAGTTTTGTAATAAGCCACCAGTCTCCAAATTGCTGTTCCATTATGAATTCCTACCCGCAATATATAAGAATATATAAGAAGAATTCTTGTTGTTCAATATCCTCATCAACATTTGGTGGTGTCAGTATTTTGAATTTTGACCATTCTAGTAATATGGTGTTATCTCGTTTTAATTTGGATTTTCCCAGAGACATATGGTATGGAGCATCTTTTCATATGCTTATTTGCCATCTTTATATCTTCTTTGATGAAGTATCTTTTAAGGTATTTGGCCCATTTTTAAAAATAATGTTGCTTGTTATTTTATTATTGAGTTTTAAAAGTTCTTTGTATATTTTGGATAAATGTCCTTTATCAATATTTTATAAATATTTTCTCCTAATCTGTGGTTTATCTTTTAATTCTCTTGATACTGTCTTTCTCAGAGTAGAAATTTTTAATTTAAATGAAATCCAGCTTATCGATTATTTCTTTCATTGATGATATCTTTGGTGTTGCCCCTAAAAGGGCATTGTTGTACTCAAGGTCATCTAGGTTTCTTCCTATGTTATCTTCTAACAGTTTTATGGTTTTGTATTTACAATTAGGTCTATGATCTATTTTGAGTTAATTTTTGTTAAGGGTGTATTGTCTGTATCTAGATTCCTTTTGTCGCATTTGGATGCCTAAGTGTTCTAGCAACAAAAACCATCTTTGGTCCTCTGTATTGCCTTTGCTCTTTTATCAAAGTCAGTTGATTATATTTTTTTGGGGGGGTCTATTTCTGGGCTCTCTATATATCTTTATGAATATAAATTATGTCTTATTTCTTAAGCAGTGCTGTGAGGAAAACAGGGTATATTATATACCTCCTTATATTTTTAATATGCCTGAAGTATTTTATAATACATTTATAAAAATAAGAATAAAAGAGGAACTGTGTCTCGTCTCCCCTTCCAGGACCCATGAAAAAGGCATAATCTCTTTCTTTCTTTAAATTCTGCCATTATCACCCAAAGGAAAGTCTCAATCATTTAACCCAATACCAGTGTGTCCTATTTATGAAGAAATATTAAATAGTTTCTATAGGTTATAATTTGGAATAAGTTAAAAAAAAAACCTGATATGGCTCTTTTCCTCAAGAACTTTACATTGCATTGAAAATATAAACATTAAAGGAAATAAACACACAAATAAACTTTAACTACAAGCCACATGTACAATTAAGGCACTACAGGTAGTGCTATAAAAGACTATACTAACAAGTCCTAATCTATTCCAGGATTCAGAGAAGCCTGAAGAAGAGCTCCTTAGGATCTGATCTACAGCATGAACTGGTGTAAACTGGGGGACTAAGGAGGTAGAGTTTTTTAAGTAGGAGGAATAGGATGTTCAAAAGCTTTAAGCAGAACATAGCAAGGTAATCTGAGAGATCAGGTGTTTGAAAAATAACCCTTCTGCAAAAATCAACTTAAAAAGGTAAACAATGAAAGCATGAGAGACATAAAAAGGTAGTAAAAAAATAATGTCTGAAACTCAATAGAAGAAGGAAACAGAGAAATAATTTGAGGCATTTGAGGCTGCTTTTCTTTTTGGATATCTGACAGTCCTGACAGAGGTAGCTTAGAGGCTGAGAAGCTGAACATAGCTTTTGATAAATTCATGAAGTAAAGGATGAAAAATTGGAGTATCATGCCCTTTATAACCTTGGAAAGAGGCAGGAGGGGAGGTATGCTGGTAAAAGATGATGGCCTAATAAACTGGCTAGGCTGTAAGATTAGATCTTGAAAAGATAAACTACAAGGGTAAAGAGTAAACTAAAAATAGATAGCCAGCACTTTATACTGAATGCTTGTATTCTCCCCAAAATTAATATGTTGAAATCCTAGTCCTCAATGTGCTTTCAGAGTTGGGGCCTTTGGGAGGTAGGGCAAATCCTCATAATGAGATTTTTAAAAAGAGACCCCAGAGAGCTTCCTTTCTTATTCTGTCACATGAGGATACAGAGAGAAGATGGCTATCTACAAACAGAGAGGGAACTCTCACCAAACACCAAATCTGGTCACCTTGATCTGAGACTTCCCAGCCTCCAGAACTGTAAGAAAAAACTTTTATAGTTTATAAGCCACCTAGTCTGTGGTATTTTGCTATAGCAACCCAAATGAACTAAGACAGCCAACTAGGAACTAAGGGCTAAATTCGAATTATCCCAAATCCTATCCAAATTAAGGTGGTCCAGAATTGTTAATGCCCCCTAGGTATCTGCCAAATCCCAATCATAAATCTTTTCTAAAAGAAAATACTATCATCTAAGTTTTTAAATTATTTCAAAAATTTTTACATTTGAAGTCTGACAATCAATGAAAACTGACCAAGTATACAGGAAAAATGAAAATTGGGATAGAAAAAGAAGAAAAGTAACAGACAATAAAAACAGGTCAACAAGAGATCCAGAAAAATTAGTAATCAGACTGGGACTTAAAATATGCTTAATATGTTTAATAAAATAAAATGCAAGGTTGAGAATGTTAGTTGAGAACTAGAAACTATTATAAAGAACCACGGGGAAATTTTTTAACTGAAAAATACAACAAGAACAAAAAAACCATAACAGGTAGATTTATCAGATTATAAATGACCCTGGAGAGCTCAACAGAATTAGAAGACACAAGTACCTTGAGTAAAGCACAGAAAGCCAAAAGGATGGAGAACATAAAAAAGGGGAAAAAAGGATACAGTGTGTAACTGGATTTGTAAAAGGAAAGAAGAGAAAGGGACAAAAGCAATATTTGAAAGGTTAATGCCGGAGAATTTATTTGAAGAAAGATATCAAGATACGAACACCGAGCGGAATATATTTTAAAATATACACATACATACATGAACAAATATATGCAGAGTTGGGCACATCAAAGTAAAACTACAGGAAAAAAAGACATAAGAGAAGATATTAAAAGTAGCCAGTGGACAATGACAGAATACCTTTAACAAAGTAACAATAAAATTGACAGCTGATTTTTCAACAAAAACTTAGGGAATGAAATCAGTATGTTCTAAGAGCTAGGAGGCAATAATTCCAAGTTCAGCAAAACTACCCTTCAAAAATTAAGAAAAAATAAAGACATTTCAAATTAAAAAACAACAACAACAAGAAGATAATCCATCACCAAAAGACCACTGAGAAAGGAACTGTGAAAGAATTTTCTTCAGAAAAAAGCACTAAACTGAGAAAGAAGCTCAAAAACAAAGGAAATAAAGAACAACCAAAAAGGTAAAATACGGTGGTAAAGTGAAAAGATGATGCTGATACAACAATAATAATTTATTTTGTGTAGTTTAACTGCATACTAATCTAGAATGCAGGACAAAAAAACACATAAAATCTAGAAGGGACATAAATGAAGTCAAGTAGCTTTAAGCTTCTCCACTCCTAGAAAAGGTAAAAATAAAAATATATATATTAGGGTTTGATAAGTGAAGCATGCATTCTGCAATCTGTACGGTAACCACTGAAAAAAACAAAATAGTAAAGAACATGCCCTTCCAAGTTAATGAAAGAGCAGAAAATAGAAGAAAAAAAGAAGAACAATAAAAATCAATAATCAGAACAAATAAAAAGTAAATATTATGGTAGATTTAAACCAAAATATATCAGTAAATACATTTTTTATGTAAACTTTTTATTTTGAGATGAAGATTCACATGCAGTAAGAAGCAAGACAGAAAGACTACATATACTTTTTACCCATTTTCCCCCAATGCAAAAATACACCATAGTCCCCTCTTATCTGTGGGGGATATATTCCAAGATCCCCAGTGGGTGCCTGTAATCATGGACAGCCCTGATCCCTATATTTACTATGTTTTTTCCTGTATATACATACCTATAATAAAGTTTAATTTATAAATTAGGTATTGTAAGAGATTAACAATAAGTAATAATAAGATAGAAAAATTATAACAAATACTATAATTATGTGAAAGTGATCTTTCTCCCTCTCTCAAAATATCTTATTGTACTGTAT